AAGCGTTTCCAACACCAGGGGGCGGAATTTGCATTTATCTGGCGCTCCTTTCTGGTATATGTGGGAGTTGTAATTTTTAAAACTTAAATTGAACTTTTGTTGTTGGTGATTATCAGAGAAACCGTCTGGAAATGCATGACAAAGGCGATGATTATATGCTTTATGAATCTCGTTTTCGCTAATACAGTTTTCAAAGTAACGAAAAACTATTCTACTGTGAGGTTTCTATTGTTTACAAAACAGTGAAGTAAAGATATCGAAAAGTTGACATTTTCGAACTTCACGCGAAGGCAGCAGTACTTGACACGCCTTTATACAAAACCGGAAGCTCGTTGTTGATGAAGTAGTTAGCAAGTGAGCTAGCAACAACCAATTTTCTAGGTAAAACTTTTAAATTCGTCGCTTAAAGCCTTAAAACGTTCAACTCAGCGATGTCTGGATCGACCAACGTCGTAGCAATGAAAAAAGTGGTCCAACAGTTACGCCTTGAAGCTGGCATTAACAGAGTTAAGGTAACGGTTAAAATCGCTACGTTACTATTGTAGGGCGTGTACTGTTTCTCTGTCGTCTGTTAAAGGAGTCTCTCTTCATTTGAATAGCGATTGTAGTTGTAGTTGCACAGCAGTAGCTTGCCTCAACTATTTCCCAACCACAGGTGTCCCAGGCCGCTGCAGACTTGCAGCAGTTCTGCCTCCAGAACGCCCAACAGGACCCTCTGCTCACCGGCATGTCGTCCAGCAACAACCCCTTCAGACCGCAGAAAGTCTGCTCCTTCCTATAGCACCAACAGGCCGACCCTCCGCCTGTGTGAGTACAGCTGGTTCTCAGGCTGCCTCTTTTTTGTACGATTAAAATAACCTCAAGTTCTGTGGAGAATCCATAAAGTACGTTTTGATGTTTTGTACGGCCAAGAGACATAACGTTGAGTAATAGCAACAAGTTACGAAACTGAAACCAGTACAAAATGCACTTTCTTAAAAAGTAGTCTAATTTTAAACGATTAACATCAAACGCTTATAATTCAATGGTAGTTTAAAATTAACTCTTACATAAAATATCAGTTATTAACTATTTCCAGTCAGCTTGTCGAGGCTGCTCTACTGAAAATCATCAGAGTTACAGTGCTCGGACTCGCACCTTTAACTTCTAGACTTTTCTCACCTGTGAAGTTCAGGTAGAGCTTTAACATCACCCACGGTCAGTTTTTCTAAAATCATTTATAAGCAGGTCAGAGTGGTTTAACTTTGCTTTTGCAGTAATGCTTATAAAATACTGTGCATTTCTGCATTGTTTACATGCTTTGCGGCCTGCTTTATAGGGAAAACAAACTTTTCACACCCTCAGCCTAAATGCTGTGGCCCCTGTACTTTGCCTTTTGTCCCATCTCTCTGAATGCCCTGAGCCTTGTTCTGTTAAAAGGGAGTTCTTTATTACCACTGTCGCCAAGTGCTTGCTCATACAGGGTCTTTACCTTACAATATAAATCTCCTTGAGACCACTGTTGACGTGAGTTGGTGCTGTATGAATAAAATTTTTGCATGACTAATGATCGTAAACATTTCTGCAGGTGTTGGACATTGTGGTGCTTTGTGGAACGGCGTTTCAGGATCAGGATCCTGCATCATGGACTGGAATCGACTCAGGAGCGTTAGGGAACTTGGGCCAAACGACTGACTTTTTTTCTTTTTAACTTTTGCCTTTTATCAAATCTAACGTGGAAACCTTTCCAAGTGGTTTTAGCACAAATGCGTCTTAAGCTATTTGCATAGAACTAACCCATACTAACATGTGCCTTTTGAAATGTGTATTTTTCATGCCTGAACAAAAATAAATACCTTTATTCACAACTTAAAGACACAGTCAATGTTTTATTAGAATAACAATATACACACGTATTATCCAAGATGATTTTTGAGAATCCTGTTGAATACAGAAGCATCTGCACTGTGCTCATGTGTTAAATATAAACAATTTGACCACCTGCAGTCACACAATGCACTTTATTCAAAGCTCCTTCTGTCAGTCGCACAAACCAGGATGGACCAGGTGTATGTTTGCATATATGTGGTCAGAGCAGGTCACATTTTTAAAGCTTTTAACACACAAGCAGCATTTACAAAGAAGCAGGATGCTGCATGTCTTCTCGGGCATTTCACGGTCCAACAGAAAATGTGTCCAACAATTAGACTCAGCCCTTTGATGTCCATGAGTAGGTCATGTTACAATAAAGAGTGGAAATGATACTTTTAAGGGAAATTTGAGCTGTTGTTGAAGATTTAACAGTTGCCAGGGCATTGTAAAGTCAATCTCAGCAAGTCCACAAACAGCTGAAGTATCTTGGATAACAGATGATCATTCCCATCTGACCAGGAAAAAGTTTTATTTTCTCAAAGCTGGAACTTTCGCCTGCAGGCTTCCATCTCATGACGCTGAAATCAAAAAAAGATATTTAAGCTTGTGTGACAAGAACATTTCTTTTAATCTTCCACAATTAAATGTTGAACTAGACTGTAATAGCACAACTGGCAAAGTAGAAACTAACAGCAAATAGGTTGCTTAAAGGCAAATGTGCACGCGGCTTGATGACAGTTTTACTGCAAAAACAACCATCTGTGAGGATGACTCACCTTCATCACCCACTCGTACTCTCCGTACTTTGAGTCGAACGTGCCTTTTTGTAGAGATCGGAGTTTGATGGTGAAGCGTGGTCCCAGCTCCTGAATACCAACTTTCTTCTCATTCTTGAAGATGTACCTTTCACAGATGAGTTTTAGAGATTTATTTAGCCTTCTAAATTTAAGATTTCAAACAGACGCATGTGTTAGTGTAGAAGGTTGAAAAATATTTACCTGTGAAATCTGAAAAAGATGAAGTCTCGCTGGTTGTGGAAGGTGGCGACCTGTCTGCCAACGAAGTGTGGCTCTTGTGGGAAAAGAGCTGCGAACAGACGGCCGATGGTGTGTCCCAAACGAGTGGTGAAATTGTTGAGGATCACCTCTGGGTAGTGTTCAGTTGGATTTTTGCCTCGTCTCTGCGGGACAAAGAAAAGGAGCCAGATGATCTCAAATGACTAAACTTCAAGAAAGCGTGTCCCAGTGTTTGGAGTAACATACAGAAGCAAAGAGGAAATACCCCCTCGTTCAGTTTCACCTCTTCAACCTATTAAGTATAAAACATGATAAAAATAACTTAGACTGTACCGGGTTGTAAAGTTATTTTAATATAACCTCAAATGAACAACACACGTCATAATACAATGTGTTGGTTTTTTTCTTTTTAAAGAAACCAAAATGCAGAAGCAGTGTGTGAAACACCGCGTGCACCACATGATTCAGTGTCTTTTAGCAGCAGTAACATGAGGTATGTATTTCTACATGACTTTGAGTCTCTCACATCATTGTGGAGTTCATACTTGTTCAGTCTTTTTCTAACTGGACTGTTTTGGACTTCAAATGTTTTACTAACCGAGGCCTGCAGTCTGAAATGTAGCTTTTGGCTTTTTTGCAGTGAGTCTGAGCATCGCACAGTCTGACCTTGCAGTGAATTTGCTGCGATGTCACTTTCCTGGGAAGACTTTGAACCGTGCTGAACGTTTCTATTTGTGAATAATCTTTCTCACAGCAGAATGACGGACTTGTATAGTCCTTCCAAAAGTCTCGAGCAGCAACTGTTGATGTGTTTTGGCATTGTGTTAACACACATCTAAATGCTTCTCCTTTTATAGGAGTGCCCACGCTGACTATTGATCAGTTAATCAAGTGCATTTTATCAGCTGCACCTGCCTGCAGGTAACTTAACCCCTGTACAAACAGTACACGGAGTAATATTACGTGCTGTTCTTCATCTGAGATTTTATCTCCTGCTGAAGACCAGATTAAATTTTTACTATGTCCTGATGTAAAACCTCAGAATTGAAAGAGGGTGTACTTTCCTTTTCACGTGTTTATAGTATAGGTGAGAAAGTAGGATCATTTTGAAAAAGAGTTTGGACTTATCATCTTGCCTTCATCTCCTTGCGTAGTCGAACACTGCTGACTTTGAAGTGTGCAGTCGGCCCGTCAGGTAAGTGACAGAGAACCATGCCATCTTTAATTAATGGTTAAGGATCTCGGCATTAGAAAACAGCTGAGTGCATCAAACTTTCATAATTATCAGCAGTATTTGGTCAAAATGAGACTTTTGACCAAAGAAAGAACTAGAGCTTGCACAGCTGCCTTTAAGGATACTGGGCACTTGTCGATCCTCATTGATGACCATGAGATAGGTGAAGTTCCTGGCGACGCACTGCGGTATGATCCTCTTCAGGGCCAAACCTCTTCTGTAGTACACGTGGGCATTTGGGATGACTGTGGCCAGCTGCTCGCAAAACCTCACCGTCCTCTGCAAGACACAAATCAGATGATGTGGCACAAATCACTGTGCGTTCAACACTTGAGGTGGAAGAGTGGTTAGCGCCAACTATTATTAACTACTATGACAGTAAATCCTATTTTAGTGCAGAAATTAAACTGTAACAACGAAACCAGCTTCAAACGTTTACACAAAAGCTAAAAGTAAGCTTGTAGCTTCTGTTCTGCTCGATTTTGTAACAAAGTCAAGAATATTCAAATATGTAAAGAGATTTTTAGAAAACTCTGTTCTGCATAATATTCAAATGATCCAAAATTTACCAGCAAATTGTAATTTTTCAGATTCTGCATATTTAATGATAAAAGAATAATAACAATGACTGTAATGACAGCAGGAGCCCTCACCCCTCTGGGCCTGTCTGATGTTGTGATGAGCACTTTAGGATTTGTCAGCCCGTTGAAGTAGGCGGAGAATTCATCAGTCCCCTCGTCAAAAGCAATCTGTATATAACGTACACAAACATATGCAACTTAATCCAAATTCAGAAATAAAGATAACAATAATCTGATGAAGCCCAGTTCATACCTCCTCATCCTCTGGGTCGACTGTTGTCTCGTCATACACCCTCTGGTTTTCTATTGTTTTGGGGACCTCCTTTGGTGGTGCCTACATTGGGGACAGAATAAGATAAAGTACAAATAATAAATATTACAGCTGTTGCCTTATTTGATCCTTTCACTCTCTGTCACTGCTGTCTAAGCATAGAAGCCCAGATCTCCCTCTTTCCTGCCATCTCCTCAAATTCTTCCGGGGGGACACAGAGGCATTCCCAAGCCAAAACATAATCTATCCAGCATATCCTGGGTCTGCCCCCCCAGCCCCTCCCAGTAGGACATGCTTCACCAACTGCTTCCTTTTAATTTGGAGGACTAGTGGCTCTAATCTGAGCCCCTCTTTACCATCAAATCCCCATGACAGCAATTTATTGGTAGAATTAACACATCCATCATAAAGCACAGTCATAAGTGAAGAACAAACAAAGAGAAGACTCACCTTATCACCTAAAGCTTCACGTTCTTTTCTTCTCTTTTTCCTCAGCTGCATCTTTTGCTGAAATACAAATTTAGAAGTTAATAGATCTTCAAGGAGGTTTTGAAAGTTAATAAAGTGATTTATCGATTACTCCTGCTAGAACTGATCTGGATAAGCAGTGATGTTTTAAATAAAATTATAGATGTACCTTTTTCTGTGTGTCACAACTAGTAAACCTGGCCATTTGTTACCTCACATAAAATTTATTGTGATTCCATACAAGTATCATCAGAAGATGCACCGGATTATAATATAAATAACAGTATTTAAAAAAACTAAAAACTCTAAAGGCCTCACAATACTGACACAAAACAAATAGGTAACTAGATATTTACCAGCCTACTCTTAAGTTATTAACATTAACAGGTGTGCTTAATATTTATGGATGCAATGATTATGGTCCAACTTTAATATCAGCAAATGCTGATCCTAATGATTTTTGTTTGGCTGTTTTTCCCTCATAAATAGAAGAACAAGGAGACCCACCCTGACTATACTTCACTTTAATGAAATATGGTGAGTGGTGAGTTAAGCAGCACATAAGGAGTCAGTCTAAATAAACTGGACCCAAGCAAAACAAGCAGCCTAACGACAGACGTAACATGTTGACGTTTAATGAAAAAACACGTGCTAAAACGAGACATTGATATTTTTATGTTGATCATTGTATTACATTAACAGTTCTACTGAAACACACTGGAGTTTTGCTCACGTAAAACGGTGCTGTTTTAACGCACCGCTGTACCTAATAAACTGGCACGTGAGTGTCCCGAGTACCGGAAGCTCCCCCCATTACCAGCCATGACCCAGTATCGGTACCTTTCTCTTCTCCTGCTTGAGTTTCATGAACATGAAGTGTCTTCGCTGTTTATTCTTGATTTCTGACACACTGAAGGTGGGAGGAAAGGCAACAGCCAGCTCGCTCTTCACCATCTTCTTCTCCTCCCCCGCGCTGCCTTCCCCATCAACCTCCGCGCTCTTCTTCTTCGCTTTCTTGCCCTTCTTCCCTTTGCCGTCCTGACTTGTTGAGACCTCTGTAATGTCCATCTTGTATCTGCTGTCTGTTTTGGCTTGTTTCTCACGTGTGTGTACTGGAAGCAGCAGCCCCGTTCGCGTATTCACTTCCGGTGGGACAGGAAGTGGCCGAATGAAGACTCGGTGAAGAACAAGTGTGACCTCTAGTGGTGAGGAGGAGACAGAGTCCCACTGTAAAGTAGGGAAATAGAGCAGAACCTAAACACAGCCGTTTTTTGCAATACCCCAGCTTTATGTAATGTTCTGTCATAAACCCTCCTGATACTCGTCCTCCGACTCCACCCTGCCTACACGCTCTCAATTTCACCTCTCCTGTGCACTGTCCATGGCTTTTTTTGACCCCAGTTATTCAAACCTCTAGTCCTATCATCTTCACTGTTAACACCCGTCTCTGTCTGGCTTCTACTGGCTATCACTCCTCTGCTCTCCAGAACATACCCCCACCTCTCCAGGCTTTCATCCATCTACTTCATACTCTCACTGCAGAACACAATGTCATCTGTGAGCATCACAGTCTACAGAGACTCCTGCCTGACCTCACCTGGCCATCCATCCACCCCCACTGCAAACAAGAAGATGCTTGGAGACGATCCCTGACGTAATCCAAACCCATCTGTCACTCCTACCACACACCTCACCACTGATAGCTGTCCTCATACATGTCCTACACCACCCTTACTTCCTCGTACAGTATCACACCAGATCATATTTTCTACAGATCCACAAAAACATCACACGGCTCTTTCTACACACTTCATCCTCAGCACTCTCAAACCAAACATTTAATCTGTAGCTCTCTTTCTCAACATGAAGCCATGCTGCTGTTCCTTCAAGAACTCTTTCTCGTATCTTCTGATATGGCTCATGATCTTTATACCTTTGTAGTTGCTACGTCTCCACTCATCACTGTTGTTTCTTGGAAAGCTGTTATAAATGACTTGTTGACCTATAATCTGTCAACCATATCTCTTATGAATGATATCAAGTCATTTAGAGCCAGAAAAAGACCTTCCTTAAAGGAGTTGGAAGCTGTAATCAGTGTAATCTGTAATCTTTTTTATCCAGGTAAAAAGTCTCATTGAGATTAAAAATGTATTTTTTCAGGAGTGAACAGCGAAGACACTCCGGCCAACAAGGCAGGAGAAGTCACAACATATATAAACTCACAATCCTGTAAAGACAATTTAAGTGGCTAAAAAAGACTGAATTGATTTTTTTGTTAGAGCAGGTAGAGGCTTAAAAATAAATAATAACATACTCTACTATGTTTTTCTGCTTCTTTAAATAAAATTCATAGATAACAATAATTATATTTTAGCATCAGAAATATAATTTCAGTTAAAGATCTAGCTCATAGTTAATCATTACAGAAACATACAAATGTTTTTGTAATTACAAAAACTCTTAATTTAGGGAAGCTGTGGCATAAACCTTACATTAGGTGGGGGCACAAATAAGAACTGCTGCAAATGCCAGATATGGCTCGATGGCACGCCAGTAAATGAGGGCATCTAAACTGAAAGCTCAAAACCGGTGAAATGACAGTGAAACTGTGCCTGTTCATATCAGTGATGAAGGTCTAACCATCACCTTCAGGACTAAAGGAGGAAGAGGAGGCTGTGATCATTTGACAGCTTAAATACAATTAAACAAAGCCAGAAAGAGACAACACGAGTTTATCTGCACCAGGAACCACAGAAGTGATCATTAACACATCAGCACATTTAATTTGAGTATTTTCTTTAGTGTTTCTCAGTGAAAACGAGTGAACACAAAGTTGCATTTGTGAGGAATAATATTATATTTGTGATTCAACAAATACAATATTACAATATTTGTCCTACATCTTTAATCACCTGCCTAAAAATTGAGATTATACTATATGGATATAATAGCACAGTTTATAATAATTACAGTAATGTAGGTCTTTAAAATTAAGCATGATAGTGTGACACGTGGTGTGAACAGGAAGCTGTGGTGTGGGCAAGACTGATCATTTTATTTTAAAAAGCCACTTCCTGGAGTGTTAACATTAAAAAATGCAATTAAGACACTTTATGGTAAACTTCAGAAATAAGACCTTCCATTATTTTTGTCAGTTTTTGCACTGTTAAAAAAAGAAATGTTTTTCTTTTGTTTACCTCAGCTCCAATGACAAGGTGTTTTGTATTTAACACACCGCATCACAAAAATGAACAAGCTGGAAAGATTCTGGAAATTAATCTACAGGTGCAACATTTTGGTGCCACAGAAACAGCTGAAAGCTGAAAACCTGTTGCAAGCAGACGCTGCCAAAGAGGACAAGAACTGCATTTTTACATAGGAGGCGAGTGGAAGTTGCTCAGTGTCAAAAACCAAAAAATATAAATGAAAAAGTAGAAAATAGACATGCACAGACAAGCAAAGCCACAAACACTGTACTATCTGGCATTCCTCCTGTCCTTCCACTGGAACGTCAACATGCAGGGTTCAGGGTGTACAAAAGGCTTTTCAATGTGTGGAGCTGCAGCAAGAGCTTGGTTTGCACAGCTGGCAATAAGTTCCAAGTGGGCGTTAAATCATTCACATTTAATTCATTTAGTTTGAAGTAACGGTGCACGGAGGACACTGCAGAGGACCCTGAGGTCGAAACTGTTTTTCTACCAGATACAGAAGTTTGTGTAATAAAATCAAGTTTTTAATAGTCCATTGATTTTTCTTAATAATGATAATGCCTTTATTTATATAGCACCTATCAAAACAAAGTTACAAAGCGCTTCACAGGACATGATAGGAAATAAAAACAAAACTTAATAAGAGATTAAAAAAATGAAACAACATGATCAAGACATTTAACAACTCTGATTGCTGCATTTTGGTCCAGTCGTGCGAACAATGAAAAGACAAAAGCAGGCACTCTGTAACCATCTCTGGATTTCTTTTAGAAACAAACTGAACCTAAAGCTGCACGAGTCAAGACTGGACAGCTGAGCTGATGTGCTTATTTAAACGGAGGTTTTTATAATATTGGTCCAACACTCGGGTTGTTCCTTCACAGCTCTTGTCTACCAACAGAGCGTGGATCTTTACATGGTTCAAAATTGTGTATCAGTCTATAGAAAGCCATCCCAACTACTCTGTCATTAGTGCATATTGCTCCTCCACCTCTTTTCATCTGACTCTCCTCTCGGTTCATATCAGCGATGCAGATCCAGTCACCGTCTGCAGTCACGCACCACTTTGAGTGATCCACAGTATCACTGAAGGCCCTCCTGTTTGGAAGCTTTACTTCTTTCACGTTGTACACATGGTTAGGGATGCTTGAACTGCAGTTAGAAGGCAGACCGCGATTGTGGTGCATCTTTCCCCAGCTCTTAACATACAGATTCCCCCTAATGTTTTTTGTAACAAGACCAGAGTAAAGATCTGCAATAGTATGGGAAACAAAACAGGAAAACAACACTATTAAGAGTGCGCTCTGCCCGTACTGTGGAGAGTACAGTGTGTTTTACTGTCAATCTACAGGGTCTTATGTTTGTGATCAATACAACATGAATTCATCCCTCCTGAAATATGTCTTCTTTCTGAAAACACTTACCATCACCAAAGCGTGTGTATTTTGCAAAGCTGATGAAGTTACGGCCGCGTGAAGAAGTCAGCGTCGCCTGACTAAACCAGGGTTCCTTTTTCGGGTAGCAGTCTCGCTGTGCCACACACCGCAGCTCATTGTGAAAGGTTGTTGGGATTTCAGAGTCATACGAATAAGCATGGATGTACTTGAGCTGCACTCCTAAGAATTCAGATACAAGTTGTTAAAGTGCACTTTCACTAGTTCTATGAAACTGATTTGAGCTGTTTACCTGTTGACATACCTATTTCTTTGAACTGCTCATACGGGTAAGTCACGCACATAAATGCTTGAGCGTTTGCATTTCCATTATCAGGCCAGAAGGCTTTACTGTGATATACTGGAAATTTGGGTGTACTGTGTGAAAGCCAAACTCCAGACGTTTTGTCCAACAACACAACTCCTGTAGAAAGTCAGAAACACAAACTGAGCTTTGCTACATTTGGGTCTTTCAGACAGAGGACGCCGTCAGCTGAGACAATGTTGTGCCCACCTTTACTGTGACCAAACGATGGAGGAGCAACATACGGCTTTGGAGGCTGGTCGCTGTACAGCATGTATCCAAAGCCTTCGATCTGGATAGACGAGCAACACCACAACAACTCTGAAATGGTATTCAGATTATTCACTGTGCCATGCTAGTGAGACATATATGCTATAATACCTCACCTTTCTGTCATAGAAGTCAAAAAGAGGTCTCAGGGTGTTTGCGAGAGTGCCAGAATCACTGTTGATGTTCTCTTGGCTGAGTATCCATCCGTTGGTGCTCTCATCCATGTAAAAGTATGACAATCCAAGTTTATCCTCATTGGGACGCTTGTACAAAATATACCTAAAGAATGTAGATAAAGATGTTTTCTTATGCATTTACATTAAACCCATTGGCAGAAATTCAAAATGTCTACAAACCAGTCAACTTCGTCTCCTCTGTCATTCCTGCATTTTACCGCTGAGTCACACCCCTGAAAAAGGATCCCAACACTCAAGAGGAATCCCATCACACTGGTCTGAAACAGTCAAACATAACCGTTGCTAGAACCACAAAAACAGGAGGCTGTCTGCATTCAACAACACCGTCACAAAGCAGAAGGTCTTTAATACAGTGTAACACAATTAAAGCCACCAGTGAACCTGCAGCTTCTGTTTAAACACTGATGAACTTTATCTGACTGACATAAACTTATGTCAGTTACGTCTTTACTTCTGCAAACCCTGCGAGCTACTTTAGACAGACGACTTAAGTTGCACCACTTACCACACATGTAACACGTCTCTGCTCACATCATTTACCAAACACAGCCTCCCAGCGTGGCAGCCTATGAAGTTACCAATTTTCCGTTTCTCCTTCTGACATTTCTGCCCCCCCCAACACGCTTTAGTTTATAAAATGGTGAAAGATGTATCAGTTCATCACAGCGGCAATACAACTCAAGATCTACCTCAATCATTCAGTTTCGAGTAACACAATATAGACTCTAAACATCTCTAAATATGAACCGGGTTTACAGTCTTATCTGGAAAACTTGTCATCACGTGACCTAATCTGTGTTTGTTTTATGAACGCTGCATTATCAGGTTTTCTGTTGTGATCCCACACATCCTCACTTTCTTATTGTAGCTATATGTTGGACGCTATAAGTAAAGATCCTTGATGTAAACAATCTGTAAGTGTGTAAGACTTGTGCATTTCTGTCAAGCCACTTCCTCAGCTTACAAGAGGTCAGTCGTCCACTACTGAAAAATATATTTGCAAGTCAAACACACCATGGACATTGTATTATAATGCCAATAATGCCAAATCATGGAGCAGTTTAAAATAGTTTGTTGCATTTTATAATAGCATGCTTATTGGTGGGTGTAATCTAGGGTCATGGTAAATGCATCAATACTAGTTTCATGTGGTAATATTCTGTTCACATTGTGTTTGATAAGCTATGACACACGGTACTCATGTACTGTGTTTTTATACACAGGATAACTATGCATTTACTTTGTGTTCAGCCTGTTTATGTAAATAGATCATCTCAGTTGTTATTATTTGTAGAATATATTTTGAAATATGTAAACATTTACTTACATATCTACTTGTTTCCATTTTCCCTCTCAGTGAGCTTTAGATGTTTCACAAAGCTGCTTTGTCACATCTACTGCTAACTGAAACCGTCACCCATATCTGCATTCGATGTGTCAGCAACAACTTCCTTGTTGCTCAAAGCCGTCACCATAGATCTTCCTTTTTTGTTTTTTACAATGTTGCCATGCCTGTTTTGACCAGGTGACGCTGTCACGAGGCTTTGTGCCGTCTGAGCCCTGCATGTTCCAGTTTGACTTGCTTTTTGAAAGAATATATATGTGACTTTGTTTTTCTTATGTTTCTGAGAAAGTGTAGTCATTGTGAAACTGATGCATGGTTTAGCACAATCTCAATTACTGCAACCACATGGCAACATTTTAAGCATCCAGATCCTCAATCAGTTAACAAAATTGTTTGCTGCGCTCTTAGAACCAGTTTTCTCATGCACATAGTGTACATGTAGAAATATGTCAGAGTCAGGTGAAAAAGAAAGTTCAGTTCAAGTAAAAGACGGACTTAGACCCTTAGCTTGTTTTATCATTACATAAATACAATTTGAGATGAACAAGAACATTTTTTATTGAACTAAAACAAAACCAGAATTCGGAAACAGCGTGCAAAAAAAATAATTCTCCACCTTTACCAGCAATAAGTTGACATAATCATTTTCTGTATGACTCTATCAGTCTTTCACGTCACTGTGGAGTCATTTTAACCCACTTTTCTTTACAACATTGCCTCAGTTCACTGAGGTTTGCGGACATTTGTTGCACAGCTTTCTCAAAGTCACGCCACAGTATTTCAGCCAGGTTGACTGCCTGGATTGAGATTTGGCCACCGTGATTTATTTATTTATTTTTACACTCATTCTGTTCTTGATTTGCTGCTTTGAATATGGTTGTTGTCCTGTTGCATCACCCGATCTTAACCTAGTCCAAGCTGTCAGGCAGACGACCTCAGACCTTCATCGTCCACTCGGTGACTGGAAGAAGCGCAGATCCTGTCATCACCTGTCTACCTCCATGCTTGATAGGTGACATGATCTGTTTGTGCTGATATGCTATGTTTGGTTTTTGCCAAAAATGGCGCTGTGCATTATGGACAAACATGTCCACTTTGGCCTTGTCTGTCCAAAGGACACTGTTCTAGAAGTCTTATGGTTTATTCAGAGGCAACATTGTAAAGCTAAGCTGTTCAGTTCAGAGAGAAAAGGCTTTTTCTTTTTCTAAGCAACAAAACGACTGAATGTATAACTTGTATTCATGGCTTGCTGAGCAAGCACGGCTTGTTTTCTAACTGTGCTGCCATGAACTTTAAAAATCTGCCATGCTAACCGAGGCCTGTAGAGCAGGAGATGTAGCTCACGAGTGTTTTGCAGTTTCTCTGCGCACTGAACAGTCTGACCTTGGGGTGAATTTGCTTCGATATCCACTGTTGGGAAGATTGTCAACTGTCTTAAACATTTTCCATTTTCTCACTGTATAATTTCTCATATCTCTTCCCAGATTGATGAGCAGAAACATTTGCTTCTCTATCATTGCTGATGTTTTCTTTCTTGCCATTATGTTACCTGATCTTACCTTCTTAACTCCTATGAAAGCATTGAGAGCATACTGAGTTCTTCATTTGCTGTTCGTGCATTTTGACTTAGTTTTCTTCACCTTTGTTCATTTGACACTGTATTAACTTAATTTTAAGACCTGCTGAGGACCAGATGAGTTTTTTAAATATGCCCCTGATAAACAAAAGCTTGTTGTTGAAAGAGGCTGTACTCTCCTTTTCACACAACTGTGTATAATACATGTTACTTATTGCACTTTACTGGATTTTAGTTGTACTCTTTCTTCTCTACTGCCTGCTCTAGTTTGCATGAGTAGTATCGAATTGTAGATAGTCGGAAAATCATTTGAATGAATTGTATGAGTCACCTGGTCTGGCCAGTAGGTGACACTATTTACCCCAAACACTAAACGCACACACAGTCACAGGCCAAGTGCCTCTTCAGTGGAAATAGAAACTGAACAAACATGATGATGACTACTCCAGAGGCACCAAATAAAACAAAATAAAATAGATTCCATTAGACTACATGTACCTCAGTCTCACTGAGCAGTAGACCAGATTTTAATGTTGTCAGTCTTTATTATGTTGCACATCATACTACAACATATGGTTCCATATATTTACTGCAGAACTTATAAAACTTAAAAACAACTTCAAATATGTAGCATCATAACACAAGTGCACACACTGTGCTAAAATAATATGAATACAAACACCCAAAGATTCAAAAGAAAATTACAAAACCTTTTATCTGTAGCACTAATAGTGTTATAGTTTCATCTCTGCTGGATGAAAGGAAGCGACATAGATCAATGATTTTGTCTCTTGCTCCTTTTGTAAAAGGAACAAGACATTGTGCAGACATTGTGCAGACATGGTTGTTTAAACACACAGCCGCTGACATCTCCTGAAACAATGTGCGGCTGTGATCTACAGTCTTACTAACCTTATTTCTGTTTTGTTTTATTGAATTGAAAGTATTATTTTTTAAATCTATTTATACTTGTGGGCTGCTGGTTCCATACAGCTGCTTTAACTCAAACAAAGGTGGATAACTAAGTGTATCCACCACATAATTAACATGCAGCCACTGCTATTTTTCAAAAGCTTATTCACCAGTTTAAATTGTAAATACATTATTATTGGTGGCAGCAGATGGCCCCGCCCCTCCCTGAGCCTGGTTCTGCTGGAGGTTTCTTCCTGTTAAAAGGGAGTTTTTCCTTCCCACTGTCGCCAAAGTGCTTGATCATAAGGTGTCATATGATTGTTGTATGTATTGTTGTAGGGTCGACCTTACAATATAAAGCACCTTCGGGTGACTGTTGTTGTGATTTGGAGCTGTATATATAAAACTGAATTCAATTATACACATACATTATTATATGTGAGTCTCTATGTTACTTCTACATAGCAGTCAACCCTGGAGACAGAATCATAGTGTCTCGCTCTGCCACTGCCAGCTAGTGTCACACTGATTCTTAATCACTTTGCTTTTCCTTCTCAATTAGCACTGACTGTACCAATCCACCACCTGCCTGAAGGCCTTATAAATCAAAGGGTTGGAGGAACAGATCAGACCGCCACCTCGCCACAGCTGGCCCATCTCTCTGTTCAGGTCTCCCAGGCAGGTCACCTGGTCCTCATAAAGTCGTGACACGCACCACTTTGAGTGGTCGTAGTGCGAATAAAACAGGATTGATCTGGGAAGCTGGATTTTCTTAATGTTCATGGTGTGTTTGGCCAGTGAGCAGTTGGAGGGCAGGTCGTGACCTTGTCTCTGCCAGGACTCCACTAAAAGGTCGGCGCCCAGTTCCTGAGCCACCCAGCCTGTGTAGATATCTGAATGAAAGCCAACAGAAAAACATGTCAGGTACTAGAGTAGTCTGTACTCGAATCATTGTGCTAAATGAAACGTATAATGTTTTTATACCATTAAATAGCATTTTTCAAGTTGTTTTGGCAATTTGCCAAATGATATGAGAATAAAGGAAATGCAAACGTGATAAGCTCACACTTCCTTTTGCATTATGTATGATTATGGTAAAATAAATACATTGTGAGCTCTGTGTTGTTTTCATGCATAAATAAACCTTTGTGTGGATAATTATTCTCTCTAAATAATAAAAATATACATATACACAAACTGAGAAACAAAATACTGCATGTAACTAAGATCCAAAAGTCAAAGCAGCTGTGAGTGTACTTTGAAAGCCCCGGCTGGGACGTGATAATGCACGTCACTGTGCAGAGACGATAGCGTGTCTGCGCCTGATAATCAGTGACTGTGGTCGACAGTGAAATGTGCAAACATGGCAGCAGGCTACAGGAAAGAAGTCTGCTCTTCTAAAATGTACATGATGAGCAAGTAAATGCCTAAAAGTAAAAAAAGGGCATGCGGGGTATCTTACCATCCACAAAGTTTTCAGATTTAGCAAAACTGACAAACTTTTCCCCTCCAGCTGAAAAAAGCTGCTCCATTCTCTTGTTGGAGGACAGCTGTGGTTTGGAGTCCGCACATAACTGGGCCAGCTGTGGCAGGTCAGCCGAGAATGCAGCAGGAACAGAGCAGTTATAGAAACGTGGGTAAAGGTAGACCAACTGCTTTGCTGGAGATTGAAGAGGAGAGAAATAAGAGATGATGTATATTAGATGGTCGTATAGCGAGAGTATTCCTTACAGCCGCAGTGAGCATTTACGATAATGACACTGATGTTGATTCTTTACTGTTAGTCTCATCAAGTTTATTAATTAAATTCTTGGCAAATATCGAATTTTCGCATTCAAGGCTTTTTATATAGCAGATATTACATTTAGCTAAATTAAATGTCCTCCAGTCTTTCTTTGTAAGCACTTTGTTGACACATTAACTTGGTAAAATGTGAAAAAACTGATTATTAATAAAAAACATAGTAATTCCAATAAAATACTATTATAGTGAAACTGTTATGATCACCACAGAAACACAGAATAATTCCGAGTAGCTGAACACGTGTGAGGAAATCCCCTAAAGTTTCCCTCAGACACGCTTCGTAGCAAAAACAATTTCACAGGTTCATTATAATACTTGTGTGCAATGTGGGGTTTCCAAACAAAAGAAACAAATCACCTTATTAATAACCTTAAAATTTCATTTTACACATTTGCTCAGTGAGAAATCCAGAAACGAGCAGAGCAGCATAAAAACTCCAAATAATTTAAAACTCTGCGCATTTAAAATGATTTTTGAATCTATATGTACCGTTAAATGGGGAGACGTGTATAAAACTGCCTGTAATTCAACAATTGAACAAACAGTTCATCACCTTGAATTAAAGCTGAAAGTCTGGATTTCACTCACATCTTGATTCAAATTACATCGTGATCGTGAACGGAGGCAAAATTACAAAAATTCTCTTATTGTCCAGATGTTTATGGGCCTAACTGTGTGTATGCATGTAAAAGAAAAAAGCTGATGATTGCTTTGCATTAAACCAGGGGTGCTGAATATAAGGCCCGGGGTCCAGAATCGGCCCAGCCGAGTCCGGCCCACCATTAGGCTGTGGAAAATGTGAAGGAGTGCATAATTTTGAACATTTAC